CCGGCCCTGCTGGCAGTGGCAGCGGCATCGCTCTGACAATCGCTCCTTCCCTCCCGGCAGCTGCACGGTCAATGCTACGATAATAGCGGAGATCCTGAAATACGGGTGACAGCCATGCTGGAGCTGGGATCCCCCCTGGAGATGATTCAGCTTCTGCAGACCCCCTGGGAGGAGAGATTTAAAGTAAGAAAACAAAGCAAAGGGAGTTTTATCAGTCACTTTTAGACCGCAAACTGGGTAAATGCGAAGAGCCCGTGGTAACTGCTGGGGCAAACGGAATTGTCATGCTGACACTGTTTGCTCCCACAAATTGTCCTTAAACCGTTTTGCTTTCACTCCTTTTAAATCACATTAAAATAGCCCTAGCCTGGCGTCTCGCTGTTATATCCCTTCTCCCTAAAGCCGTGTTAAGAGAGCTACATCTGGGAGGAAATGGCCACAAAATCTTGCTCAGGGCTGGGGTGGTGTTTAATACCCAGTATTACGCTATATTGCTAGTTTTCCCTCTATATTGTTCCACTCCACAGAGGGGCTTTCCTAGCGAGGCCCCTCAGCAGGCTGGGTCTGACTCGGGAAAGCCACCTCCCTGTGCTATGAGTCTGTTGTTTTCTGTGTATTACCTATTTTAGGCAGCGAGCTGAGCAGCCTGTCTCTCACCATGTGTTTGTATGATGTTTCTGACCTTAGCCCTTTAGGTATTATTGTGGTACAAACACTACTAAATTGCTTTCCTCCTGCTGTAGGTGCTAGAATCGCATCCCTGTTTGTGAGATCTGCCTTGTCTCCTAAGCACCCTGCACAGGGACTCTTAAGCTCCCCAGGAACATAAATGACTTATGACATGGCACTTATTTTGGTTGCAGCTTGTATTACAGTTTGCTCAAGGTCTCAGTTGGGGGTTCACTACTACTTGTTTGGTTCCCAGGAGGAAAGAGAGCATCAAGTAGAAGCATGGGTACCTTAATGTCAATAAGAAATGCTTTGGGCAAAGTAAAAAAGCAACAAAAGTCCCAAAATAAAATCCCTGCCTGCATGTGGTCCTTAATGTTGAAGAGGAGCCTTGCTATCCAAGCCGGAGGAGAATTGTGGCAACTGTGCTCGCTCAGCTGCAGGACGTGAAGCTGGGATTCTTATGATGGCCTCACTAATGAAGTTAAAATAGCGTCAGAGCTTCCAGAGTCATTTCTCTTGGCCTGTGGAGTTCCGCTTCTGCTTACAAACTATTTCATACTGGCTTCTACATAGCTTTCCCAGCACCTCATCTTCTCAAATGTGCCAAAGTCTCCTGTAGAGCTAGAAACCCATGATGCTGGATTAGCTGGTGGTAAGGTCTGGTACAGTGGCATTAAGATTTTTATAATCTTTTGACTGATGAAGACACTAATTCAGAATTTACACTGGTACTGTCTAGTCCTGTTTCCTAATTAGGTCATCCAAACGGATGGGATTCCCCTCTGATGAGCCATGTCAGATACCAGTGATTCTGCAAGCTGTTCCAAATGAACAAACCCTCGTGCCTGCACAGATCGCTATCGGAGGCAGCGAGGGGTGGTGCGGGTCTGCCTGGCACACCTAGCTGACGATACAGTTTATCTGATGCCAGGGCTCCCGATACTGAATGAAAACTGCTGCAAAAAGCTACTTGAACAAAGTGCTGGTGCAGTATAAATACGCTCTTCTAGCTCTAGTTTGTTCAAAAATCATTTACCGAGCTTTCTGCTGGATCAGGTATTGTCTGACCTTTCCCTGCTGCCAGAAAGTTGACATAAAAGCAAAAAGGCTGGCAATAAATACATTGCATGCTTTGGCTAATTCTTCAGAAGTACGATTGTGTGCCCAAATTCATACTGCTGAGTGATGCAGCAAGGCATGAATCTGGTATTAATGACCATGGAGCCTCAGTCTGTATGGAGCAGCATGGGGGAAGGGAGGGGAATGTATTTATTCTATGCCAGAGTGGGAAAAAACCCTTCTGATTTCAGCTAGCAAATCAATATAGCTCCTGAAACATGAAGGCTGCTATTGTTTTCCTCACATCTTTCTCCTCTAGTTCCTCTAACTGCAAATGTCTCTTTGTATACGCATGTTTTAAAAAAATGTTGCTAAACTACTTACCACAGTCAAATCCTGTGGCAATGTTGATAATAAATTTTGTAGCATACATATAATTACCTTTTAAGTACTATATGCTTTTTTCCCCCTTTAATTTCATTGAATGCCCTCCCCTTTGTTTTACTTCCAATTTAATAGCTGTTTTTCATCTGTTTTTCCCATGCATATTCATATTCTCTTTCTCAGATTTGCCTGAGTCTTGTGAAACTGCTGTTTTACTTGGCACATTCCCCCCTGGGTTCAATAGTCCTCTTGGATTTCCAGCCAAGGCAGTTTGTTATGGTGGATGGAAACCTAAAAGTGACAGACATAGATGATGCCAGCACTGAGGAACTGTCATGCAGGGAAGATAATGATTGCACACTCGACTTCCCTACAAAAAGCTTTCCTCTCAAATGCTCTGCAGTTGGGAAATGTGAAGGAATAAATGAAAAGAAGAATCTTTTCAATGCATATCGGTATGTCCAGCGAAATGGGGGAGAAATCTGGCGTGGTTGAGCTCACACACTGCCATGTAGCCTCTAGCATCTCGTGTTTCTTCCATGCAGTGATTCTCCTTCACCTCTGTCAAAGGGTAGTTAAGGATCGCTTTGAAGCAAGTTCATTTTCCTTATAAGGCAGGAAAATAGCGTAGTAGTTGTCTGGTGAGAATGCAGGCATCTTTGTTCTGCTGCTCCCTTTCCCCAACGCCCTCTAGAAACTTGCCCCAAAGGTTGCACCTGTGAATTTATTGTTTGCCAAACAAGCCCTGGCATTTGACATCCACAGGCTACGTTTGCCGAAAGCAGTGGCAGTGCGGGCTACCTACCAAAGCCCACCAACTTTGAGCCCCCGTTGTTGGGAACAGGCTGGCTAATTCTTCCCTTGAACTCCATGTCTCCCTGTGGAGACTGTGGGCACCTATGGAAGAGCGATGGAACAGGTAACGGGCAGCAGGCTGAGACTGCTGCAGCACTTCGTGTAGGCCACCAGCTGAAGGCGCAAAGATTTCCACTCACCGCTGACACTTGGCAGGTCAAGTACCGGGGGAAGCTGGATATTTACACAGAAGGACTTAGTAAGGGAGCTTGTATTTGCAGGACTCGGTGTTAAAGGGCAAATCCCTGCGTAGTTTATTACAGCCTTGCTGTATCAAACTTGTTTCTTGTAGAACAGGAGTTTTCTAGAAGGTTCAGGGAATGAATAGGGGAGTGTTCAGCCTTTCCAGGGGTAATAAGAATGCCAAACCTTTCCAGGGCAAGGGAAAAGTCTTGCATGAGTCTTGTTCTATATAGGTCTTTTTTTGATGGGAAATCTATTGCTTAGTGCACAAAAATGGCCCGGGGGAATGAGGGAAAGCTCCATTGCGTGAGCCTTTGCAAGGTAGATTTCACGTGGTGCTCGGCTGCACGCTGTGCTGCAAGGACTAGCGTTTCAGCCCAACTCACAGGTACGGTCTGTGAGATGCCCATGAAGTGCTCAAACATAACTTATATAACCAAAGCAGACTTACTAGTTTCATATGGATAATCGAGTCATGGGAAAATGTAGACAACTTAATCACTGGAGAAATTAAGCCACTGTATTCTAATCAGTCTGTGGGATTTTTTGCAGGTATTTTTTCACCTATCTTTTGCCACACTCTGCACCACCAGCTTTGCAGCCTTTTTTGAGTGATATTCTGAACGCAACAGGTACCAGCTAATATTCATAAAATTCTTTATTATAAGTCTCTCAATGGTATTTCATGGAATTACTCATCTTTGTCATCTCTTTCTTTAAATGTAGGTGATTTACGATATGGGATAAATGAAACCCTGAAAGCTTTTGAAAAGGTTTTACATCTGTACAAGTCTGGGCTCTATCTGCAGAAAAGACCTCTTCATTTAAAAGGTACATGATTTTGAATTCTTTAAGTAACATAACTACTGAGGGAGCGAGGAACTTGGTAACTGGTCAAATTCTGATCTCCCATACATTCAAGCAGTATTTAGTCACTAGGAAAAGCACCAAAAGTATCTTTCCTTGAGCCGCCTTTTGTTGTTTCTTCATGGGAGCTATGCAAGATTGCATTGTTTTGCAAAGTAAATGCAGTGCAGACAATCTGGCCTACATATGGACATATGTTTGTCCTGCTTCTAAATACTCTTCTCATAATGTGCATCAGTGTTTCAAGTGAATATATTTGGGGTAGCTTAAGCAACTAGACCAGAGTAGCAAACTGAGTCTCTCATGTCCCTCTTCGGGGTCATCTTATCCTCTGGACCAGCAGGTCAGTTTTCTGGGCTGATACTGAAACTTCCCGTTTCACTTGGTGGCTTCTGACTGCTGAGCACGTGTTGTTATGGGAATGTACAGGGGGGAGGTCACAACACCGAGATGAGTGTGGCAGAGTAGCTAGGGCCTTGGTACCCTCTAAATTTCTTTTTTCTGAAGACCATCCTATTGGACCTGTGGATGGATAAATGAGCCTCTGTGAGGTGCGCTCCTCTGAAAAGGACCTGTTCGGTGGTGGAGATGAGGCTAATCAAAAGGAAGGCTTTAAAAGTTCAGTGGTTACTGTGGCTTACATTTTCCTGAGCGTTCACTTGCGATGGTGGGGTGGTGATGGTGGCTTGTGGAAGGAAATCTCTTCATATGTGAAAGAACTGGAATTTGCACAGTTGTGAACAAAGATATCCAGTCATTTGCACTGAAGGACTAGCAGCTTTAACAGGAATTGCCAGTATTTTCCAACAACACCTACCCATTGGCTTCACAACTAGCCCAGTAGCAACGTGCCAAAATGATCACCATCCTAGAGGTGTGGGAAGGTGGGGAGAGACTCTTAGCAGTCAGTGAACAATAGCCTGAACATCGCCTGCTCAGGTTTGTCAGGTCTTTTGTATGCCACTGGAGCAGGATCTGGCCTCCCTTTCCCCCACTGGGCTTCCTAAATCTCCTGTACCTGTGGGAGGCACCATGATGGGTGGATCAGTGCATGCCCCACGTAGCTCGGTGCTGGATCTGTGATGAGCTGGTTTTGCTGTTGGGGCTGAGCTGTAGGAGAGGCCGTTGTGAGGTTGGCTTCTCCGGAGCCGTGCTAGAAAGGTGGGTCTGCACAGCAGCCTCCCCCTCTCACCCACCCCTGTGGTCACTCCCCTGTCCCTTCACCCTTGAGAGCTCTGCCCCCTCTCTTACATCTGTGGAGGAGTTGCTGTCCTGCAGAGCTAAAAGCCAGGATTTGGGTTTCTTTTAACTTTGCAGCTCCACCCACTCCATCTAAGCAGGTCAGTTCAATCTACCACTATCACAGTTCTTTAAGAGTTTCACTGGTGTGAAATACTGCGTGTATATTGTAACTAGTCTCTGAAAGTGCACTTAAAGAGTTTCCCTAAATACCCTCTTTCTGTTCCCAGACTACATCTCCCTAAAGGGCTTCCGAATGGTGGAAGGAGAAGACTACAAGTGCTGGCCCTCCTACAGCCACCTGGGATGCCTGCTCTCTGTTCACAGCGCTGAGGAAGCCGCCACAATTTGTAACTCCCAATCGCAGTGTCAAAGTTTTATCGTCACCCAGCGGAGGACGTGGACAGGTGAGCCTGGGCAAATGTGACAGGATGCTGCCACGTGGTGCCCCTGCTTCCTCAGTCGCGAGTGGGGATGCTGCTGCTGCCCTCCTCCGTAGTGCCTTGAGTCTACGGGCGCATATAAAAGCTGTCTTTCCTATTCTCAAGATCAGATGGCTGCTGCGGTGGGCATCCAAGGATCCCCTGAGTATTTGTTAGGACAGACAAGGGAAATTATATTCTCCTTCTGCAGATTCTTTCCTCTACAGATTTTGCACAGGACTGCTAGATATTGTTAAACAGTTACTTATTTCATGCAGATATGGCTTCACTTTGGTGTTAGGCTAAACAATTCCTGTGGTATGTATAGTTTGCAAAAAGCTGTGGGGTTTTTAGAGATGAAAGAAGCTATGTAAAAGAAGGTGGTTACTATTTTTAAAAGAATGATAGCTTACAAGTTGTTATTCCCTTTATCAAAACTAAAGCCCCAAACCAATGGATTTCCAAAATGTCCCTGTAATTAGCTCTGATTATAGCCTCTTATGGTTAGCATGTTTTCAGAATTATTATAAATTACCTCATTTAGCCGACACTTCAATCATGGGCTGAATTGTTACTTATAAAGTGAAACGCTAAATGAGGTAAATGCGTGTTTTCAGCAATAGTGCTTAAGAATCATGTCTTGTCGGCTCACATGACATATAAAAAAAAAAATCCCAAAACTACCAAAAATGCAGCTCTTCCGTGGGTTTGTGTGCAATTGGCGTGTGGCAAACTAGTGACATAAGAGCGCTTACACTGATGCAACATAAATCTCTTCGAGCCGGTTTCACACCAGCAATGGATTGTGTGAGTTGTGCCTAACGCATCACATCTGGCTTCCTCACGGGGCGGCTGTTAGTTGCTGTGTTCGCTGCCTGGCTGGAAGGAACCCTGCTTAAAACAGCGGTGGGGATGCAGAAGAAGCAGCATGTGGGACAGAAGACCCTTTCTGGAGCACCTGGCTCGGATGCTGATCCCCGCCATCCCGCACCGTGCCTGCGGTCTGTTAATGTTTCCTGTGCTGACATTTTTCTTCCTCACATTTTTACAGTGCATCTTTGCAGCCAAAGATGCCAAAAGTGTGTGGCTGAAATGCAGAGTGCCTAACTTTGCCGTCTGGATTAATGAGAGCTGTGGGAACATGCTGGTCCCTCTTAAGACAACTCTGCAAAGCAAAGCAAGATGTAAAAGCCTCTGGGGCCCGATTTTGCATTCCTTGTGCACACTTGGAGAGCATCTGGAGTTTACTGGGAGTGTAAAACACATCTATGGTGGGGTGGAGTGACCCTCCGTTGAGCAAGCAGTGTGTTCCTGTGTCTCTTGCAATAAATAGCATGGGTCAAGGTGAGCCTATCATCTCCTCTATTAAACTTGCATTTTCATTTCCTTTCCAGGACGCCCACTCGCCTCATTTCAGAGTAGCCCAACTGATTTAATACCGGATGCTAACGCTGTAGTCTATATTAAACGATCGGCTTCCTCTGGGGAAAGACTTTAAAGACAATGAGATCACATAATATGATCCTGGGAGGAACAAACGACTGGGAAGAATGTCATCCGCTGAAAAGAATGACATATTTTATTTAGCTTTGGGATGGGATCTCCTTGCCAGCTCAGATAGAGTCAAATGCTGCTGTCTCCTTGATCAAAGCTCAGATTTCTCATTGCAGCCCTGCTAGCTTCTTTATCTGTTCCCACACTGCTGTTCCGCATAAATGCTCCCAGTTTTAGTCAAATGTCACTAGACTGTGCAATACCTAGCCTTGCTGCTTTGGTAACCAGCTTGTCAGCCAAGAAATAGAAATAGCTGCAAGGGATCCAGCTTGGGTAGGCTTAGTTAGTTCAGTCACCTCCAAAAACCTATTGATAACACACCTTGGAGAAGGCAGTGGCTCCTTCTGCAGCTGCCGACCAGGATTTCGTACCACTGCAAATGTAAAGGACTGGATTTCAGCGATGGGTCGAGGTTGCAGGGTTGGGATCCATAACCAGAGGTTGATGATGGGGGTGGTCTTCCAAGGAGGGTCCTGATTCAGTTCCGTCCAGGGCAGGGGAAGGAGGTGGTGTATAGGTCAACTCTGGAACCAAATGTCTGGATGTTTGGATGCAGGATTTGCATTTGACCCTGTGCGATTTGTAATGCCAGCTCCCATGTATCAACCTTGAAGGTTTTTCTCTGTTACTTTCCGTGAAAGAGCAAGACATTAAAATTATTTATGTATAAGGCATTACTCTGTATGATAAAGAATGACTATGTTTATTCTAAACATGCTGTGAAAAGTTTTTCTCTTTAATTGTCTAAGTCTTTACTGCAACCAAATGAACAAATGCAAGTGTTCCCCACCTTCAGCTCACCTAGCATCATCACCCATTCCTGAGGACAACCTGTGAGTGTGCTCAGGAGTGTACGAATGTGCCCAGGCCCCTTGGACACTTAGATCTTGGAGGATGCTTTGTGGCTGCACTTGCAGGCTCACAGGCATAGAAGAGAGAGTCTGGTCTCAAGAGCCTCCTGCATTTGCCCTTTGCTAAAAATGTAGACGTGGCCTCTGAAAAATAGGTGGGGGTTAGTATAATTTCAGGCTGTAAAAGATGGCAACGTAACGTGCCACTCCCAGGAGTGCCTGGAAGCAGTGACCATACGGTACCTCTTCTGTAGCACAGTCGGGAAAGCCCAAATCCCCGCTGCCCTCACGCCCCGCAGGGGAAGGTCCCTGGCCTTGAGCAGGAGAGCCACGCTGCAGCCTCTGTGCGGTGCCGCATTGAGTTTTCCACCACAGTGGGAAGCCCAAATCACCGCTGACCTCACGCCCCGCAGGGGAAGGTCCCTGGCCTTGAGCAGGAGAGCCACGCTGCAGCCTCTGTGCAGTGCCACATTGAGTTTTCCACTTAGCCCACACTGCTGGGTGGGAACAACAGCTCTCGGGACATTGCCATTGACTCCTTGTAGCCTACGACATTGCCATTGACTCCTTGTAGCCTACCACAGCGTGGCTATTTCCATGTGGGCATCTGTAGCAGCTGGGGTACTCCCCCCCCCCCAGGCTAAAGATGCCTGAGCTCTTGCCTGGGGTTGTGCTGTGTTTTTCATGATCTGGTCTTGTGTTTCCTAGTGCAGGATCTCACCTTTCAGCTCGTTAGTACTCTATTAACCCACAGCAATGCCATTGCATGGGGGCTTTCTCATGCGCTATAACCCCTGCTGCTTACACTGGGGCTGGGGGACTCTGATAGTGATATCAATTAATGAGAATTCCTAGTTAGCACAACAAGAAGGCTCTTCTTAGTGATGGCCACATCGCTGCAGGCTTTGTGAAGGCAAGGCTTTTTAAATGGACAGCCACAGACTGCTCTCTCCATTACAGTGGGTCCTGTGGAAATTAAAGGAAAGGTCCTGCCAGGGGTCCGCTATTGTTTTACATTGACCCCACTGAGCCGGGCTTCAGGCATCTGCTGTGTGGTGCTTTACATTAGCAAGAAGTAATGAGAGTTTATTCCGTATCTCTCAGCCTCCTGAGATACAAATTGGAAGTACATTCCCCAAAGCAAGGGCAAGGGCCAGCCCAGGGTCATTTCAGAGAGGAAGAAACAGAGAATGCAAAAGTTGAAGCGATTCCAGTTAGTGTTAGAAAGATCTTCCCATCCTAAAAATCTCTCCTGGTAAAAAAATATTGTGTATTTTAGTCATGCGATGCTCCTCTCACGTTACAGATTTTTCCATGAAGCTTTCATTGTATGATTGCCTGCCAGGCAGTCAGGTCCAGCCCCTCAGCAGATGGTGCAGAGTATGGCAGTGTCGCTTGGATAAATGTAGGTTCCAGCATCAAACCTGCAGTTATAGCCTGGGAGCAGAGACCATCTCATCCTGCCTTGAAAGTTTTGACCACACAGTGCTTAACAAATAATAATAATTAAAAAAAATCAATAAAATGGAAGTCAGGCTTCAAAGAATCCCAATGCTCAATCTGCTGTTGCCACAGCGAGTGGCTTTTGTAGGACATGTAGTCCGCCCCCTGCAAATGAGAAGGTGCATCCTTAGAGCCTGGATCCCTGTGGGCACATTCATCATGCTAGCACAGACAAATAGCTAGGGCACAGGCACACATTCATGTCCAACTCTGTTCGTGTGCTAGAGACTTAGAAGATGCCGCAAATACACTGGTAAAAGTGCACGCACCGATTTTCCTCATACCTCTGTGCAGCTCCCCACGGCAGGTAACACCTGGTGGGCATGCCGCCTTCAGTCTGATTTGGGGTGACATCCCACTGCAGTCCAATGGTGCCCAGTGAATGCTGGGTGAGGCACAGGGAGGGAAAATGTTTTATCACCCCGCTGCATCTAGAGCTATAGCTTGACATGCCTTTGAGGAAACAAAGTCACTGGAAAAAGCGGTTCCCACCCTGCTTTTTCCCAGCTTCTTGCTGTTATGATCTGCTAAGAAACCTTTTCCAGTGGCCGTGCCAGTTTAAAAGCACGTAGAATTAATTCTCTGCTAGCCTGCAGTAGGCAGCTTGTGACCCCTAAGCTTCAGGCAGCTCGCAAGCGGCTCAGGTGCAGCTTCTGTGCCAGGACTGTGTGGCGCACCCAGGCTGCTCACAACCTGAAGGGGAGGCTATGGGAGCAAGCATCTTCTCCACAGCTTTTGGGCCCATGTGGCTGTTTTGTAGTGCACTATCTTTATGTCCCATCTCACTCAGTCAGTCTTTATTCATTCCGTCCTTTTATTAAATTATAACTGCCTCAAGCAGCTTTAGACTTTCAATGCCAGAGAAAATTTCAGTGCACACCTGAAAACTGTATTTCAGTTAACTACGGTACATGCAAAACTCAGGTATAAACATTTGTTGCCCTTAAAACTCCCAGTTGCTGGAGTCAATTTGTCTCTGCTATCGCTGATCAGTATTTCAGCCACCATTGTGGAATATGTAACAGAGGAAAGTGCTTGGAAGGAAACAGCAGGGGATCGATTGCAATGGAAACCATGTGTGCTGGAGGAATAATATTTACCTAAATGTGTCTATCACATCTTCCCAAAGGATGCTGCCATTAGAAGAGAATGGATATGAAAATGTTGCCTCCATAGATAAAAGTTAGGAATATCATTTTTTTAAACACAAACTTTAATATTCTTAATTAGTTCCATATTGTAATAACAGAGATAAAGCCACATCCATAAAGGATAATACCATGTACTCCAAAGATATAAACCACAGTTTAATAAATAGCAACAGATGCCGCATGACTCATGTTTGCACAGGCGTTTACATGACTGGTGACTTCATGACAGATTGAGGAGCGGAGCGAGGGGGACAGAGCCCAATAAAGAAAAAGCAACTCCTGGTGCATCAGACAAGGTTCAAATAACAGTGAAAGTCAAGCCTGTATTCTTACATGACATATTTTGCAAACTTCAGTGATGCTCTAAGCAGCATTCAAATAGATGGACTTTCAAGTTGGTTTGGAGCATTTGATAAAAACAGGAATTTATCACAGGCAGCTGTAGGCCCAAATCGCACATCTGGGTTAACATTAATTTCTGTAAGTTCTCCTATAAATTCATGTACCAAGCACTGATGTTCGTGGCTAGAAGTCAGAGCACTTTGGTCCTACTGGGTTGAAAGAGCTGGTTTGAAGTCCTGTTTGAGGAATTAGTGAAGTGTAACTACAGTATCCAGAATAGCCCATCACGATGGCTTGGTAGGACTTCACAGTGAATCTTCCCCCATTACTATAGCACTTGCAGCAATCTTTCTCCTTGGTTCCATTGTCCCAGTGCACCAAAGTGCCACCAACAGCAGTGTGGAGATGGTGGTGGTGAAGGAGAATTCACAGAAGAGAATTTTATATGAGAGGCAATCATGAGCCCCTCTGCCTCCTCTATAGCATATGCTTAGTCCAGGGTGGTGGATTTGCCCTAAATCATAGTTCTTGGCTAATGGGAAAATGTATCAGATTACATCAAACAGGTCTGGGTGCAGCAAGGAGGGGTGATAGCCGGAGGGAACGGCTGCCAAACTCCTCTGCTTCAAATTCAGCTCCTGGCTCTGAGAGCTCCAGGCAACAGCTTGAGCTTTGGAGCCTTTGGACCCTCAGTCCTCCCTGACTGGCCAGCCCAGTTGACAAAAGTGCTCTGTTTGTTGGTAGGGGAGACTTCTCAACGCAGCTTCGGAGGAGATGATAGAGATGATGATGGATTTTTATAAGAAATATATACTTGGCCTTTCTGGGCACCAAGTTATGTCCCTGCACTGCACCCACTACCACAGCTGCCCTATCCTCACTCACTCCCAACTACCATAACCATTATCCTCCCCCAGCCCCAAATCTATACCTGACGGCTGCATGCTCAGGTCTCGCCCTCCTGTCATTTACTCACCCCACACTCCCCATGTGCCATCCCAGCCCACCTACTCCTTATACCCCTGCAGACCCCCCCCTCAACATTCACGTACAGCCCCACAGCCTCTTACCCTCGCAGCCAACACACAGGTGGTGGTGCAGCTGGGGAGCCCTTATTTCTATACCACCAGAGGCGAAATAGTCCTGTGTGTAGCAGGAGGCCACATCTGAAAGGTGTAACCGCAAGATCAGCCTGCCTTTGATTTGTAACCTCTCTTTTCATTTACCATCGAAGAAGATTTCTAGATTAGCAAGTGCTAAATACAATGTACTAATAGCCTCCTGCAAACAACCAGGGTTAAAGCTGTGCATTAGAACCACAATGCCTTAACTACGTTGTGTTATTTACATGGTGCGTCACACCTTCCAAATCCAAGTCTAGACAAGGCTTAAGAAAATGCAAATTCCTACATTATGTTACGTTTATCAGTATTTATCCTGAAATGCCATCAAAATCAATGGGAGTCTCTCGCAGACTTTTTGGCTGAAATCTGTCGCCCTACTTACAGTACTGGAAATGTAAGATCCAGCCTCAAAATGAAGTAAAAAATCAGCCACCCCCAAAGCTACAAAATAAACACCCAAATTTCCAAATTCTTGTATCTGTAAGTTATATCTCCCACATAATGTTTTTAGCAAGTGAATTGTTTTTCTCTGCTGGGAAAAACCCTGCTGCAAATTCCCTCACTGCTTCAGATGACAGATCAGAGAGTTCAGGCTTAGATTAAAAACTTGATAATGAAACCTGGGGACACAAGTTAATCATCACATTGGGTAGCCAGAGAGCCGGTTTATGAATGTCTTGGGGACACTTGGGTGCAAAGGAAATTCTCTCAGACCTCAGATGGAAAATGCCAAGAAACATTT